ATGATAAATGATGGCATTATTACTCTTCCTCTGGACACAGATGGCGAGAACCCGTGTAATCAACTACACACACATGCACATGTCCATATGTTGATTTTATTTTTGCGCAGTTATTAATAAAGATTATGCATAATGGCTAATGCATAGTTTTTTGTGTTTTATCATGTATACATTTTATAATTTATAATTGTGTTTATAATGTATTTATCATAATGTATAATTATAATGTAATTATGTATAATTTGAAATCAGTTTATATATATATATATATATGTATATATATATATAACTTAAAATTAAAGTATATTCATATAATTAACTAATTTTATGATTAATATGTTAAATAAAAATAAATATATAACAGCACCACTTGTCTCGTACGTATTCTGTGATTTCGGAGCAGCCCAAGCTGTTTCTCATCGCGCTGTGTGAAATACAGACCGAACAGTGGCTCAAAACACCCGACCGCTGCATAAGGCTGGATAAAGCAAACCAGTGTCGCGCTAGTAAAGTTTTGATGGACGACAATTGTAATCAACGTAAAGACGATTACAGTGACAGCGTATTTTGGAGACGTTTGTGAGGATCAGTGGTGTTTATGTACATATGGGCATCAGATGCTTCAAACACGATCGCTTGTTCTGTCAGAGGAACTGTTCACTGATGACGTCGAGCCGCCTTCAGATCGCTGAATTTCCCCACATTCAGAATGTTTTCATTTTTCATTTCTATTTTGGTGTGTTTAGTGATTCTGAATGGATCCGTATAGTTGCTATATGCAGTCCTTTGGCATCTCCCTGTGGTCTTGATTGGTATTGCAGGTTGACTTGTGCTTAATTGTTACTGTATAATTGTGCCTTAAGTACTTTTAAGTTAAGTTTTTAATAATGTCTGCAGTGACATTTTTGCAAAGTGTGTTTTTAAAAAAGAACACTGAAGGTTTAAATCTGTCTTGAATTTATTTTGTTTAAAAATAATAACATGGAATTGAAAAGTAGTAACACTAGAATACAAAGGATTTTGTGAATAGAAAAGGTTGGGGGGCCTTGGAGTAAAAAAAGGTTGAGAACCACTTCTATATGCAATACTAATACCAGTGCTTATATATGTGCGTATATATCACTCTCTTTCTCACTTTCCCTCTCCTGTGAATTTGATCTGTGCGTCCTTCCTTGCCTTCAAGTCATTAAAATGCTAATGCATGCTTTAACTTCTCAATTCTGTGGTGACAGAGTAGGACACAGTCAGTAGATGTAACTCTCGCTTTTCCTCTCTCTCTCTCTCTCTCTCTTATATTCTTTCTTTTGAAATGTAATCAATTATCAATGTAATGTAATTATTAATTACATTAGTCTCTGTAAAGTGACTAAAGTGTGAGTATAAGAGGCATATTTTTAGACTTAGTTATGGAATTGTGAGTTAAGAACTTTTTTATTAAAAGAGGTCTAATTTTTTTAAAGCAGGTTTTCCTATTTGCTATCAACTTTTTTCTATCGATGAATTATGGGCTGTTTTTTTAATGTGTAAATTCATTAATTAATTAATTTCTTTATTATTTGTTTATTCTATAATTTAGCATAAGTAATTTGTAATTAACTAATTTATTTATAATTTTTGTAATTATATTTCTTTTTATTCCTTTATTTATATGCATTTATTTCTGTATATTACATGTACTACTGTATATTTCATTTGAAATATTTTGTTAAAAAGGTCATGTCATACTTTCATCATTTTATTTTATAATATATAATATTGTTATTTTTTCTGCAGAAAAATCTTTAGTCATAATTTAGCATTACATTTCCATTTTTTATCATCTCTCTGATCCTTTGTCTCTTGTCAGAAGTAGAGCAAGTCATATGCAATATAGGATAATACTGCAGGGTAGCATACCACAGTTTACTCTTATTGTTAGTTTGAATAGTATCTATAAGTAATAGTACAAATCCGGCTTCATGTACACAATATCCATCTGTCATTTATTTTTTGCGCTGAAAGACAAAGTATTTTTACAGTATGTTTTTAGGTAACACTTTATTTTGATAGTCCACTTTAGACATTCTATTAACAGTAAGTAACTTTGCAACTACATGTCAACTAGCAGTTAGTAGAGTATTAGTAGACTGTCTGCTTAATATCTTCTAACACTTTCTTTGTCAACTTATTCTACTAACCCTAAACCTGCCCTGTCTACTCTGAGAGTTAGTAGACAGGTAGATGCAAATGAATGAGAATTAGTTGACATGTAGTTGACATGTAGTTACAAAGTTACTTATAGTTAGTAGAATGTCTAAAGTGGACTATCGAAATAAAGTGTAACCTGTTTTTATAGTGTGCTGAACTTTGATGCATCATAATATTACTCCTTTAAACACACAATCACCAAGACGCTTCGCAGACTGTCAAAGCAAGAGAGGACTGAAGAAGAGCAGACATGCACAGAGGGAATACCAGAGTGTGACACAGGAAGGAGTGGAAAGAGGAAATATGCATTAGTAATCAGACCAGAGCAAGTGGGTCACTGAGTTTATTAAGAAAGGGGAGAGACAGAGAGGAAGACATGTTGAATTCAATAACACGGAGAGCAAAGTGTAATTCAATAACCGCTGTAACACAATTTCTAATGTATCTAGGAAAGAAATGCATGTGTTTGACCATCTGTTCTTGCCAGAAAATGTTTGTAAGGTTCGTTATTTGTAAGATTCTCAGGGTGTGTTTGTGTGTGAACGTGAATATGTGTATATGTGTGTCAGCAGATTGGCCTTCTGTAGGGGAGCAGTGCATTGATTTCCAGCCCAAAGTCCAATCACATAAATCTAGTCTGGCTTGAAACACCAGGCCTATTAGCCAGACCCTCTGACTGTATCAACGAGACCACATTCTCTCACACACACACACACAAATATACAGTTGACCTTGCCTGTGCATTTAATTAAGATCGTCTACATTTTCGCACACAAACCAACACCCACATTTTCGCAGAAGACTAGAGACATGCTATCGGCTCTGAAATGCAATGCAAATATGATCAACGGCACTGAAAATGACAAATAGGGTGTTTATGATGATTAATGTTTAATATGTGTCATGTTTTTCTTTCAGAGACGAGAGCGGACCGAACCAAGAGGCTGTTCAGACATTACACTGTGGGCTCCTATGACAACTTTACCTCATATAGGTAATGTATATATTTGTGCATGCAGAAAAAATATATGTAGGGCATTTTGGTTATCAATAGTTCAAAGCAAACCTGAGAAAGTTATAGTCTGACTCAGTGGAGTCTGTCATTTGTGGTATTCAGTCTCTACTGCCATCTAGAGGATAGAGGGTGTGAACACACATTACATCATGCTTTTACCATTTATATTTGCTTTTAATTTACACACACACTTAGTTCTCATTTCACATTTTATTGCATGCAACATATTTCTTTTTGTTCTGTTTGTTTTAGATTCAAAAATAAATGCATAAGAACTTGATTCCATTGAGAACGAAGAACTACATGAAATTTTACATCCGAGTGTAATAAAAAACAATCAGCGCATGCTATTAAAGGAGAGGTCATGTTTTACATTATGCTCAATGTTACAGTGTAATTGGATATGCAAATCTACTTATGAATCATATCTACTGTGTTTCAAGGGACAGTCAAATTAGATTGTATGAATGTAGTTAATTCTGTCCCACCAACGAATATGAGCAACAAAATATGATGTTGTATGCTTTAATATAAAAATAATGACAAAATAAATGTATTTTCTATATTTTATACATATTATTAAATGCATTTATTTTATCCAAAATGAATACATTTAGATATCTACTACAGTTTCTCACAGCATTGCACAGCTTCTCATTTAAAGTTTGTATAGTTTTGTACTACAAAAGCAGTCAAAAGTTTATATATTGTATACTTATATTGATGCAAGACTGTCAAAATGATTTGATTTACACCCCAGAAGCCAAATGGTGACATTGGTGAAATGCCTTTTCATTATACAAAGTTGCAGGTCAGAGTGAATTTGAATTCTGCAGGTGAATTTTGCAGGTTTTGAATTCTATGCAGCTATATACTTTATTCAGACTTGTGCATATTTAATTTTGGGGATGAAAACAAGGCTATGAGAGATAGAAGTACACTGTAAAAAATGACCGTGAATTTAACGGTAAAAGACTGTAAATATGCTACAGTAAAAACCTGTTAAATGGTTAACGGTAAATTCCCCTACTATACACGGTGAAAAACTGTATTGGACATTACATGTATTGGACATTAATTTTACGGTAGTATACCGTTTTTGGAAGTGGAAAAAGACCGTATAATTTACAGTGAATAACCGTAAATTGACATTCCCAGAATTCCCTGCGTTACATTTCAAATTTTATGTTTTTTTGTTGAAATAACTATGTTTCTTCTTAGTTTTTTCTTATTAGTTTTGTATATTAGGGTTGTGTGTTACACCTAATGTGCTGTAACCACAGCTGCTGGTTTTTTACCGTAAATTTTACGGATTTTTTTTTACAGTGTACAGTTTAATGGATTGTACTGTTGTTTAACAAACCTACCGATTGTTCAGTGTCTTTCTGAAAACAAAAAACAAAACAAAACTCCATAAAACAGTTTTAAAAGCTATAAGTTGTGAAAATTAAGTGATCTAAGACTTGTACACTGTGTGCCATTCTAAAGACTGTAAAGTGTATCCCTCACAGCCTCATTTTCATCCACGGTAAATTCAGTTTGGCGTCCAAACCCACTAAGGTCTTTTGAGGCAAATCCTTTACATACTCTTGCATATCTATTCTACCTAGTGTGAACACAACACATAAGCAAGTTTTTGTTACTGCAATTTTAAATATATTTAACACTATAAAGTGTTTTCGAAATTAAAGACTGCTTGATGTGAGACGGAGGATAAGATGAGATGAGTTTGGGAAAGGAGTAAGAGAGAGAGAGAGAACGAGAGAGGATTCATTACTGGAGTCTCTCTGTCAAACTAATACTTTTCACTCCATTCATCTTCTCTTGCAAGGATGCTCAACAACAGCAAACAGGTCTAGAACAGCAGCCTAAAGAACTGCACCCAGTCAAATCAATTACCTTCTGAAATGGACTCGAAACATACAAGACAAATGAAGCCTCTCCCAGACTCTTAAAATCATCTGTTTCCCAATATTAGATGTGAATGAATGACCATCACCTTACTGAAATCCTCAGTAGGGGCTCCGTTTAGAGTAACTGTTGGAAGTTGCCAAGATGGCGATCCATCTCTGAACTCCAAACTGTCATTGTATCAAATTATTATAAATTGTTTTTAAATCATTATTAATAAATGAATTAATGAATCAAATTAAAATGTAAATGTTAGCATGTGAGTACACTGTAAAAAATGTCAAGCCGTTTCAACTAATTATTATTTAGTAACAAGTTCCACAGAAATTTTACGTTCAGTCAATTTCTGTCTTCAAAGTGTTGCCTGAATTGTTATTTTTTAGTTGGCTCAACCTTTACTGAAATAGTTTTATAGTCCATTCAACTAAAATTATTTAATTGGTCAAACATTTAGAAAACTACAGCAAATTGTGTCAATTAAAATTTAACCATTCAACTCCATGTGTTTCATGTTACCTCAACTAAGATTTATTATTTGGGCATCCTAAGAAATTGCTGTATAACTAGTTATTATATTTTATATTGAGTTTAAGAAAATTATTACCTGGTGTCTATCAATCACTAAAACACACCCATTACAACACATAATAGCCTTTATTTAATAACAATCTGCATTTATAACATTTGTCATACAGACTAAACATGCAGGCTTAAAGGGATAGTTCACCCATAAATGAAAATTTGCTGTTAATTGGCTCACCCTCAAGCCATCCAAGATGTAGTTAACTTTTTTTTTTCAATTGAACAGTAAAGGAAATTTTTAGGTGAAAACATTGTCTTTGAAAACATTGCAATTCACAAACTGCATGTCTCTGACTGCCGGCTTTTGAGAGTCAAATAAACATATACAGACCAAATTACCAAAGGCTCCCGAGGACACATTGAGGCCTTATGAAGCTAAACAATCAAAAACCGGCAGCCACAGACGTGCAGTGTATGAATCGCCAAGGATCACCGTTTCAGATAAAAAAATTTTCAGAGGAAAAAAAGTCACTGACATCTAGTGTTGCTTTCGTCAACGAAAATTATGACTAAATATCGTCGTCAACGAACCTTTATTACGTGACGAAAACGAGACGAGACGAAAATGCTGGTCATGTGACGACTATAATTAAATGTATAATGCAATATCGTTGACGAATAAAAACGAGACTAAATGTGGTTTACAAAATAAAAACTATGCTAAAATGTCTCTTAATTTTCGTTGACCAAAACGAGACGAAACAAAATGTTATAACGTTATTTCGTCTCGTTTAGTCGCGTTATTATTATTATTTTGCAGTATTTCTGTTTCCTGTGTCTCGCTTCAGCGGCATCAGGGCGCACTGCGCAGACGCAGGCCCCACTCGGGGTGCCGCGTCTGTCGAGAGCAGCTATTATATAATATCCATTTCTAATGTCGCCAATAATTAGAGATGCACTGAAATTCCGGCTGCCGAAAATTAGTTCACCACTCAGGATTCACTTTCACGTGGTGTGACACTCTGCGTGTTATCCCGCTCTATGCGTGTGTGCTCCGCTCAGCTCCACTCGTATACCATTCATGCTCATCGGAACAGCAAAGTCCACTCAAAAATCAAGCTGACAGGAAACATCGATGTAGTACAGTATTGTTTCCGTCTGCAATAGCCCTACTGTGCTGTAACAAGGTGTGGTAAATGGGCAACTCTGGTAACGCTGCCCTCTCATTCATTGATCTGCTAACCGTTATGCTCATGTGTCCTCTGATGATAATAGCTTTCTAGGATTAAACATTATTTGGATAATTGGTAAAAAAAAAAAAAATTTTTTTAAATATCTTAACCCTA